TGCGGACAGAACTTTATCGTTGAATCTTTATTCTGAAAGATTCTTCCAGCGCTTCATCACTCAATTTACTATACTAAAACTACAGACATGGCCGACCTTACCATATAAATAACTAAGCAAGGGCTTAGGGCCCTCAATTGTAAAGGGCCCCAAGTTTTTAAAATCGGTGGTAGTTACGTAGCCTCTTACGCACAATCAACAAGAGCAACCAGCAATGATTCAACTTCCACAAAACGCAATCGATTTCCACAAAACGCAGCCTCTATTCTAGTGTTCTTCTTCCTTCAATCCCTTCTCTATTATTCCTTCTCTTGATTTTGATCCGAAGAACAACATATGTCACTTTGAGTACAAGAAGCTCAAGAATGATTTGAACTTTTGCAGGCATCATCGACATATTGAAGCTTCCATTGATTCTCGTAGGGATGAAAATATTGGAGATGATCTCAATCAGATTCCTCCATATGAATCCTACCCTTTATAAGTTTCCTACATCATTATATTAGTTGGGAGTTAGGCAACTTGTTCATCCTCATTTTACTCATGGTATCCAAAAAATTTTATGGCACTTATTTCATTATTTCCAAATTACATGCAAAACACTTGGATGTGATGCAATCACCATGGTTCGGACAGATTGACTTCTAATGAGCTTTTTGGTCGACTCTGTTATGATCTTAATATCTCCGTTGAAGAGTCTTTACTAATATCTCGGATGAAGAGTCTTTATTGACTTTGACACTTCTAGGTTCTGAAAAACTGGAGTACAGTCTCACATGTCCTAGTTGCTTGGTATATATGTTTGAAAATAAACATATTAATTAACTACAAATTCCAATTATATCTTTTATAAAATGGTTAATTGTGGACACATTTTTTTGCAGGTCTTGTGTTTGTGTGGTAGCCGGTGTATTAATCATTGAAGGGTTCAAGTTTGCAAACCAAGATTCCAAAGTGTCCAGTTTGCCAAGAGGTTAGATAAAGTTGGATGTTATATATAGCAATATCTTTTTTTTTCTATATGTTTATTGGGTATAAATGATCATATTATGTAACAAAATATAGAGTAATGGTATTGTTTATGTATCTTTATTATTGTAGAGTGGAGTTTCTATATGCTTGTTGGGTATATATGATCATATTATGTAACAAAATATAGATTAATGGTATGGTTTATATATTTGTATTATTGCAGAGTGGAGTGTATGCTAAATCAACTAGGTTTTCTCTTACAAAGAAAGTATTTCCATTAATCCATAATATGATAATCCATTATTCTAGTTTGCTGACTGTTCATTTGTAGTATGGTAAAGGCCAAAGGGCCCTAAATTTTTTGCTCGCTTAGAGCCCCTGAAGTGGTTGAGCCGCCCCTGTCTACAGAAAGAGATGTCAAATCACGAGGGATCAACATGATCAAGGGTAAGAAGAGAAAGACTCTTGAAAGAGACTTGGTGCAAGAAATATGAGAGCCTAGAGCCTTTTATTTATCGTAAACGAATTTTCAAAAAGCACCCTTATAATTACTTAAACGACTAAACGACCCTTAATAACAATATTTTAAATAGATTTAATGATATTTGTACTAAATTAATGTCGAAAGTATTCGATATTAGTTTTATATCGACCGCATTGCAAATACCTTCCTAATGAGCTATATATATATATATATATATATATATATATTATATATATATATCTATATATATATATATATATATATCTATATAATATATATATATATATATATATATATGATTTATACTTTATTTTACTGCGTAAATATTCTATTATAAATCATAACGTCTTCATAAAAACTCCGTTCTCAGCGTTCTACATATTGACGGATTCGTATTTACGAGTACATCAACTTTGTTTAGATTGTTTTGGCTAACAAGCAACCGATTTCTATTTCACTTTTTATGACACACATTGTTGTGTAGGGCTGAACGCGAAACTTTAAAAAATCATAACTTCCTCACATGAAGTCATATTTTTGCGTTCTTTATACTTACGAAATCGTCATCACGACTACTACAACCTTCGTTAAGATTATTTATCCTAAATAATCTTTTATTTTTACACTTTATTTTATCACTTCAACGATAAATTTTATAATAATGTTTTCTAAAAATTTTATATACTTATAATATTTGTTCACATAACGTGTGTATATAGATATATATATATATATCTAGATCTATATATATATAGATTATATCTATATATATCTATATATAATATATATATATATATATATATATATCACGTAAAATGTATAACGAATAGTTATCCTTTTCAATATTTTTTTATTATTCATTAAAATGATTAATTATAACTAAATTCACTTAAAACGTCTAGCTCCAACTTACGGGCGTTACATATGATCACATTTATTAACACTTTTGACCACTTTTTGCTTAATTATATGTAACGAACTCCCAAAAAAAAAATCTTTGTGTGACTAAATATTACAAAACGCTACACAAAAATAAAAAGTGACCGTTGGATAAACAATAGTCACACAAAATACACATTACTTAGACTTTAAAAAGCATATGGTCGCACATATTAATACTTTTGGCCACTTTTTACTTAATTGTATGTGACTAAATCCCCAAAAGAACAATGGTTGTGTGACTAAATCATCGTAATCCCTTTTATTTTATATATATATATATATATATATATATATATATATATATATATATATATAGATATATATATATATATATATATATATATATATATATATATTCATGTGGCCGAAGGACGGACAATAGTCACACAAAATACACATTTACTTGACTTTAAAAAGCATATGGTCACACTTATTACCAATTTTGACCACTTTTTGCTTAATTGTAAGTGACTAATTCCAAAAAAAAACATTCTTTGTGTGACCAAATGACGGATAATAGTTACACTCAAAAACCACTCGTGTGACTATATGTAGTATAATAGTTACACTCAAAATCACTAAAACTGATTAATCTAGTATAAACTCATACCTAATTAGTCACACATTTTATGGTTTTGGTTATTGTTTTCAAATAGATATGACCACTAACTCGCTAATGTAACTGTATGTACCCTATGGTCACTCGACCTTTCGTCACACATACACTGAAAATGCAAGTGTGACTATATGTATATCATCACACTTTTTTGGTGTAACGAAATCGCAGTTTTGTTCTAGTGAAACCCGTAAGTTATTTAAAGAAACGAGACAACCTATTAGTAATCTAAAGAAATGAGGCAACCCATTGGTAATCTAAAGAAACGGGGCAACATGTTAGTTATTAAAAAAATGGGATAATCTATTAGTTATCTAAAGAAACGGGGGCAACCCGTTAGTTATTTAAAGAAATGGGGCAACCCGTTAGTTACCTAAAGAAACGGGGCAACCTCTTAGTTATCTAAAGAAATAGGAAACCAATTAGTTATCTAAACAAACATGGCAACCCATTAGTTATCTAAATAAACATGGTAACCTGTAAATTTTCTAAAGAAATGGGGCACCCTTGTTAGTTATCTAAATAAATGGGGCAACCCGTTAGTTATCTAAAGAAACGAGACAACATGTTAGTTATCTAAAAGATATTTACCATCATCTTTAGTAACCCATTAGTAACCAACATATCTACCATCATATTCACCACCATTATTGTGAGCTGTATGAACAACATTTAGGGGTATTCATCGGTTTAAATACAATGGAACTGCTACACCAACTATCCATTGAATGTTAGCTTTCGTCAACCGATCCAATCAAAATCATTCTATGCAATCGAACCACACCGATCCAATTGGATATTGGATTGGATTGTTTTATCCATTGGATATATTCTACTGGGTACTTCTTACCCAACAAATTCTAATCTATTTTCTATCTAATAACAACCAAATATAATTATGATAATTAAAACTAAAACGTCACACAATTACACTGAATAAGACTAACAAACAACATTTCAAGTCTTCAACTTCAAAGACAAAGGTTCAAACATGCAAAATCATTAAGAAAATTGGTTTTATTTCTAATTTTATTTAATATTAACTGGATAATAATATTGGACGGTAATTAGATATTCAATTGGATGGACATTGGATCGGTTTGATTCGGTTATCTATTGGATTTTTAGGGTGATCCAATAACCGATCCAATCCAATCGGATTTTTAAATTTCAAAAGTGATCCAATCCAACTGTAATCAATATCCAATCTAGTCGGTCAATTTATAATTGGATCTGTCGGTGTCGGTTCCAGTTGAACCGGTTAAGTTCTATACACCCATAAGATTGTCATATATAACATCATCATCACCAATGCACTTATATATTTTTGTAATTTTTAACAAAAGGCCAAACCTATATGCATTCACCATTTTTGACTGTCACGAACCACCAAAACAAACAACGACAATACTCATCTAAAAAGTTTGAAGCCATGCTTTTATCTCATAGGAATTATATCAGACATATTTGTGTTGGATATCTTAATATTTCGAAAGTAGATCTTATAAAATAACCCTTGCTTCTTTCTCATAAATCCATTGTATGTTAGATTTCACTATATGATTGTCAGATTTTTACGGATGTCAAATTTTGCGGTACGTAGGAGATAGTTGGCTTGTAGTATTTTTCATTTGATTTTAAAAAAAAATCATTTCATTTATTTTTAATTAATATTTTAATTAATTCTTGTGTTCCTTGCCATCCTATCTAAATAAATCATTTACGCAAACTAATACTTTTAAAACTAAGTTATAAAAACATATAATTAATTAACATCAGTGTAAAACTATATAGTATATAACTTAATTAAATATTTTTTATTAGAATATATATTAAAAAAAATCAGTACACTTGCTACTATTTTAGTGTTCCATATAATCCGACTTTAGATGAGCCGTCCACACCTAATTAAGCCAAGAACATTTCCCAACAACTAACACCAACATATACGAGTGTTTGGTCACACCCTTGCTAAATACTTCACATCACCATCCTCATTATATAGACATATACATATGCACGAATACACATCTTAATCTTGGATCAAAACAAATGGGTGAAGAAGGGCAAGTGAAAGTATTAAAGGATAGTATTGAAAGAAGGTCGAGAGTGATGATGGTTGTGCCATTATTAAGGGTTCTGGCGTTGGTTGCCACTGCTACTGCTACAATTGCCATGGCTCTTAACAAAGAGGCACACACTTTTGTTGTTGCCACAGTTGGGAATACTCCCGTCAAACTCACCCTCACTGCCAAGTTCCAGCACAACCCTGCCAATGTGTAAGTCTTTAATGTGTTGTTGAAATTCAACAATTTTATATATATATATATATTATATATATATATATATATATATATATATATATATATGTTAATGAAATTATATAATCAATTGGATTGTTTCTTGTATATATATTGTAACTGATATAATGTTTCTAATTATATTCATACAGAATGTTTGTAATCGCTAATGGGGTGGCGACTCTTCACAGTCTCTTGATGCTATCACTCTGTTTTGTTAGCAACAAATATGATTTGAAGGGCTTGCGGTCTGTAACTGTCGCTACATTGGACATGGTATGTCAGTGTCTACCCTTGATTATATATGCTATATAATTTAAGATGGTTAAATATCATTTAACTGATTTACTTTTCTATATTTTTACTTTTATTTTTTTAAAGAAGAATAATTTACTAAAACTTATTATTTTTATTGTTTAAAGAAAGTATGTATATTATTATAAAAAAATCAACATTATTGTATTTAATGAAGAATAAAACACGAATGGAGTAACTGTTTATTTATTAGGATTTTATTTTTTTGGTCAGGATTATTATTTATATTAATATATATGAAAAGAGAAAAAATGTTCATTTCGTTATGATTATCTCCTATTACCAAATGAGAAATTTTTAAACTTAATTAACAGTAATAAAATATGTTAAATGTGTTGAAAAGGTTAGCGTATGAAACCTAATCAAATGTTAAATAATATAAATCATGTGTGTTTGTGATTTTAATAAATAATTAAAGAGATCATATTTAAGAGATAGATTATTTATTAAATTTAATAAAAAGACAAGAGCTAAAAATGTTAGCACATCAAAAGAAACCAACAAATTGACTCATTTTAATTTCATGTTCATTTTAGATGATGATTGCATTAGTATCTGGAGCAGCTACTGCAACTGTTTTCATGGGCGAGCTAGCGAGACATGGAAACTCTCATGCTCGTTGGAATAAGATCTGCAACAATTTCGAACGATATTGTAACCAAGGATCTGGGGCTATAGCTGCCTCTTACATCGGGATCTTGTTCTTAATGATTGTCTTTGTGGTTAACATCTTTAAACGTGAACAACTGAACACCATTAAAAATTCTATGTGTGCATGATGGATATGATGTCATTGTTTATGAGTATGAGTTGTGTATTTATTGTTTGAAAATGAATGTTTGTACCATTTACTACTTAAGGATTTCTTATGCTAATAGTTATTTTCGTTTTCTTGTTTTTCTTTGTTAAGTTTCGTTTTATCTAATTTGTACCATATATAAAATGTAACTAGAAAAAAAATCTTGGACTTCACCCAGGGTTAGATTTTTTTTTTTTTTGATCATGCTCTTTTTCGGTGGATCTTGGACTTCTTTCGTTGTCAGTGTCGTAGATTGTGTTTTTTGATGTTGTTAGCATCATGTTTACGTGTTTGTTAAACTAGAAACATTTTACAAAATTTAATGATTGCTACATTGTAGCCTGCCCAAAATGTTCGATGCTTGTTAGAAACAATGAACAAAAAATTTCATTTTAGTTGCCTACTGTTGAAATTTTCAGCCAGCTTTTTGGGATTTTAGGATGATGTGTCTATCTCATTACCAAGAATGTTAATTTATCAATTTTCTCCTATGCGAGGTAACCTAGAAAAAGACGAAAAAAAAACTAGTTCATGTTTTCTTCTTTATCATAGTAACTTCACATAATAAGAAATTGCTTACCAATTTCATTGTGTTGATTCCAACTGTAAACACAAAACCGCATCAACCAATAAAACCTTAGCAGATATACAAAAAAGAAAATGTTAATCATCAAATCATAAATTGATCAAGAAAATTAAAACAACACAAGACAAACATTCAATTAGATTGACAGAGAATGAGCAAGAACGCTAAGTTCTTCATTAGTGGATCCAACATTGGAACTTTCTTCAGGTGTTCAACAGTTCAGCAAATATTCATCATTTGAGATTACTAATAATGTATTATTATTATTATTATTATTATTATATTTTATTGTTTGCATGAATTCGTTTTCATATTTTTAGAAGTATGTTATTTCTTGATGAGTTAATCAGTTGTTTATTTCGTTATATTTTAAGATCAAACATAAAATAAAGAGAACAGAATATGAATGTTTTGTGTAAGCAATTTAAAAGGTGGTTGATTGTTATAATGATGGACTTCTTAAAACCATTAAATTTCTAAGAAAAATTAAAGTGATACTCTTTTTATAACTTAAATTCATATTTCTAGTATTTTATTAACGCAAGTTTTTCTATTGGTAATTCATTTTATAAATGACAGTTTTTATAACAACTAGGAAAGATTCCCCGCTTTCGGGGGTTGTAAGACATATAATTACAAACTCTATTGGTCATGGAGTGCGTACCATATGACCTGCAAGAAAGACCAAGCTATGTTTATGTTACACACTTACCGTACGAAACAATTCATTTTTGGATAACTTTTTAATCTAGTGGTACATATTTTCCAATGACATAAATGCAAGAAATAGCAATGTACTTGCAATTCCTTTCTATTACAGCTTTCTACTTCCAATTTTTTTTTCTTATTGAAAAATTGTACTTCAAAAACTCTGCCAAATAATAGCATTGTACTTTCAACTGCGTTGTATTGGATCTGCAATGCTACTTCTAGAACTTCCAAACCCTTCGCCTGTGACACACACACACACACACACACACACACACACACACACACACACACCACACACACACACACATATATATATATATATATATATAGATATATATATATATATTATATATAATATAATATATATATATATATATATATATATATATATATATCTTCTAACATCAAGTAACCTTAGAAGTAAATCTTTCTTTCATATTAATATAATATTTACACAAATTGAAATAGTACCTTGTTTGTAAAAAGATTCTCTTTCTTCTTCATGACTCCAGCAGCAAAACTATCAAGTTCAAGGCTTACTGTAAATAAATGAAGAAAAGTAAAAGTAATTTACACTTTCGGTCCTGAAAAGTTCTCTTGTCAATATCTGGGATCCAAAGTGTAAAAATAAGGTATAGTAAGGTACCAAAAGTAGTCATTTGACTTGGAAAACAGGCGATATTAAACATCAAATTTATTTCTTATTATCTAGCAAGACCTGTTGTCAGTTAAAGATAAAATAAAAATATTTTTTGTTAAAAGTTTAACGTAAATGAATTTGCCTATATAATTGTCTCAAAGTAAACAACTGTAACTACCTGTTTGAACCAACTCCTGGATATAACTATAAAATGTCGAATGAGAGAAGTAAATCCACTTGAAAAAACATCACAACTCAATAAGTCTGAAAATTTTCTAAATAAAATTCGGTTAAAACTTAAATAAAAAACAACAAAAATTAAAAATACGAAAAAAAACACAAACAAATAAGAAAGACAGAAATCTGTACATACTTGGAATTTCATTACAGATCAAGTTTTCTAGCATGTTGATAATAGTTTCAGAAACGTTTTGTTCTAATTTCTTGACTTTTGTTCCATTATTCTTGAGTTTCTTATATTTTGTTGAGTCCTAATCTGTTAGTGCAAAAAACTAAATGCTCTTGAAGCATACAAATTTTAAACATAAATGTTCATTTTCTTACTCTCGTGTACATACAACAATTAGAAAGCAAAGTTACTTACCTGCAAGTTGGAAATCGGGAGTGATATGGATCAGTACATTAAGAAATTGTTAAGCAAAATTTCTTAAAAAACAATTTTTTTAAAAAATAATGCTCTAAAAAATTGTTGTGGAAAATATAAAAGAAAAATAAAAACAAATTTGAAAAAAGTAAAAGGCAGATCAAATTTGTGAATAACGAAAACTTAGAGGGTAATAATTATATTAAAATATCTTAAAAATTAGATTAGTATTATGGAGGAGAAGTCAAACCTGGATGTATAGAGGAGAAATGATGCTCTTCAATCCGATAGTTTGAACAATAGGTGCAATTTGAAGTAAATAACTACCTTGGAAGTATATGCAGAAAGAAACTGTTTAAAAATTAATTAAGGAAACAAAATAAACTAAAATGACTATTTTAATAGGTGATCAACACTTAAGAGAGTAATTTAGAAACTCATGAACTCATATGGTCTAAGTAGCTAATTTCTTTGTTGTCAATCATGTGCACGGATGTGCAAACCCCAACAAAAAATTGCAATGCACATTTATTTCATTTCTAGTTTTACCATTGAACTTACAAAATGTTATTAAACCTAATGAACTTTCAAAACCCCAAAATTTTCAAAACATACAACTTTTTACAAGGATTATAAAACTATCCAACCTTGTCAAGATTTACGTAGTTCCTAGTCAAAACTACAAAAAATAATCAATTTCAAACGGACAATGGTTTAAGTACCAATTTTTATAATCAAAAGTAATTTTAATTGATAGGTATCCAAACTTAGGAATGTCAATATGAAAAACCTTAAACTTCTTTTCAAAACACTCCTTTAAAATATAGCATATCCAAATTGTACTATAAATCTAAATCAACTTAAATATAAATTAATGATAAATTAACATCAACTCTCGATTTTCCTCTTCTGTCATACCCACTTTTCCATACATCATTAGAACTTCATAACCACCATGAAAAACCACCGTTAAACTAACATCAAAAGCCACCAACAATCTTCATAAAAATTACCAGAAACCTAGACGTTAGTTTTCACCATATTTTCAGGACATAATATATAAAAATTCAATTTGATATATTGATATACCTATTATATTTATGAAAACAATATGGCATGTTATGCCAAAAAAGAAGTTTAATTACTTGAAACACCCTCGTAGTCCCAGAATTCAGAAACAAACATTTTCAGTTGATTTTGTCAAATATGGTAGCTGAAAAAGGACCAGATCCCTACATTAACATTACTCATAAATTAGAAGTGAGCATTAGCTACACACATTGTGGTTTAACAAACTGTACATTTTCATGAGAAAATTATGTCTATTGTATGGAGAGGATCGAAATTGATGAAAATAAACTTGAACATGTTATGGTTTCCGTTTAAACATAAATGTTTTCACCTGAAATCAATACGATACCTGGATTTTCTATGAACCTCCAAACAAAAACGAAAATCAATTATGAGAAAAGAGACGAAATTGAGAATGAAAAAAGAATTCATATCCAGATTTCACTAAAGATCAAGCATTTATAAAGACAAATAAAAAAAAGATGTAAACATTTAAAAAGTAATTTATTATTACCTGTTGTAAGTCGAAAAATCGGTTTTTCCCGATCTTGTTAATTGCCATCCAGATTCGAACACATTTTTCAAAACCCTGGAGAAAAAGAGTAGTGATGAATATCTCTTTACCCAAAACCCTAAGTGAGAATGAAGTAAGAAAGAGAGATAGAGAGACCTTACTTATTAGCCGACAACACCTTCTTCATTAGGTTGACGATGTTGAGACTGGTGGTGGTGGTGGAGGTCTATCTAAATCACATCAGAATCAACATCGAGTTGTAGCTGGTGTCACACCCCCGAACCAGACGGCGGAAACGTCTGAGGGCTCGTGTGACTTAAATTGAAATATCATCACAATGAATATACATGAAACATAACATAAACATCACCATGCATTAATACGTTACGACCGTCATTATTCACATCAAGTACATTGTTTACATTACATAATCCCAAAACACAAATTGTTTATCAAATGACATCACAAAAGACATTCAGACACAAGCTTGATAATTCTTCATTCTAACGGTTACCTGAGAACACAAGTTGTTTTGAAAACGGTTAACATATATAATGTTGGTGAGTTCATAAACAGGTTTGATATGAAAATGTTTTGTATTGTTTGTAAAATCCAGAAAATGCGATTTTTTCTGAAACAGGAATCGTTTACGAAAAAGGTGTGATGACCCATAAGTATACTTGTGAATGATTTCAAAACATGTAAAAGTGATATGTTTTTCATAATAGTTTCTTGTATCATAGTTGTTGTAAGTAAAAGTGAATAATATTGTTCCCCCGGAAAACCCGATGTTTTCCGATATAAATAGTATGATAGTTTGTATTACTGTATCGTCACCACATATGAACATGATTTCCCAATGATTAC